ATACCGTAGGTGAAAATCTTGGCACCGCGATATAGATTCGAGGCTTTTCGAGTCAACGCCATCTACCGGCATTTACGGTACCAAATTTTTTTTCTACACTATCTTGTGTAGACAGTAAAAATAATTTTGATAAAAGTATTATCAATGGTTGTGTCATCGTGTCATGCTTCAAAACCTAGTACACTATATTTCAGGCACATGCATGTTGACTTATGTCTCAGGTTGATGGGCGCAATGGCAGTGCCTCTCCGATCTTTGCGAGTGGTACTGCAACTGTTATGGACAGGCGTGTCGCTTACCACCAGGGGCACAACTTCAACAATCAGATCAATGTCAAAAATGACAAGCTGCTTGTCAAATTAAGATTTAAAGCAATTAGAGGGAACAATTACAAAGATTTTCCAGGAACATGTTATGTGAGATATATATCTGATAGTAGGTTTGTAAAGTCCCAAAATTGAAATGAAGAAATTATTGGAGTTTCCATAATCCAATAAGACGACAGGATTAGGATTTCTCTACACCCCGTACCAGAACCCCTCTGCGCTCCGGAAATAAGTCGGAAGATTATTATGAAAGATGTGATTGAAAAAAAAATGTAACTTCGTTGCTCTTCAACATTTGATGGAATTCACTAAATTGTCTAGGCCAAAATATTGGTAATTTAATTTGCGGTGTTTTGGAGTGAATGCGGCACGTAAATTTTGGTATAAATATAATCTTATGAGTTTGAAAGGGCGCGTAGTATTTGAGAAGTTGACATGTACTTCTGATTTTTAACCGACCTTTTTTGTGTCTGTATTTTTTAATTACTTGTTACATTTAAAGTAAAACATTCACTAAATTTTTCCGTATACCGCTTATTCATCGTACAAATACATTTCTATGTGTAGTGTGCGCTATGTGTGTGTTCGTACTGCTGCGTGTTGGCATTCCTCCTAGTGTACGTGAGAGTCGTTAATAAAGGGTGTCACTAAACCTTGATCCTTGTAAGTACATCCCACACACTGAACACGAGTCTATTCTAATAAATGGTCGTGAAAAATATTTTAATATTTTCGTTGATTGTTTTTTTTTTGGTAAGGGCCTCAGTAGTGGTCCTATTCAAATTTGAAGACAATATTCGACCTCCCGACCCTTAGGTGCCGAATTAGGGGGCTGAATCCGGTTTATTGGATATCACCCATTTTCCGTTAATCAATTTCATAGACAACTTTTATAAAAAGTATTAATTATAATTTCTAAATTACGTATAGGGTCAAGAGCACGTCCAACTTGACACTTAAGATTTAATCCAACTCTCTGCCGCTTACGATAAGAACGGTCCAAAGTTCAAATTGTCGAGCTTGATGTGCTTTTGACTGTACCTACAAGTGTGAATGTTTAGTAAATTGTCTCTCGCTAACAACGAAGGAAATGAAGCAGCCAAACCGACACTGGAATCTTGTCAAAGAAGGTACACAACCCGCTAAAGCTTACAGGAGACGTGCTTAGCGTTAACACGTATAATTTGTAGTGATATATTTTTAATAAGCACCTGCCCCCGTAGTATGCCGCCTCGATAAAGCTATTATAGCCACATTTAGCTCTCAAATTCAAGTGATAAACTGGCATTTTAAAGTTTTATCGCAATAGCTAAATGGCGAGCACCGTGACGTCACATTTTATGACATCGCGAGCACCGCGACCAATGACTGCAAATGATGAAACACAGTGCCAAACATGACTGCAAGGTCACAGCTGATTTTATACCATATATAAACAAATTTAATCTTTTAACGAATTCATTTTGAGTAACTTTTAATAACGTGTTGTGAGGAATTGTATTACAAATCGTATTCTGAACCTCAGCCTTCAAAATGAATTTGTTAAAAGATTAAATTTGTGTATCCAAGAAAATGGAGCTCATTTGGAGCAACTAATTAGTTAGATTACCATTTTTTTCGTTTTATTAAAATACGTTAAGGTTTCATGGTTTTTTTTTTCATTTAATTAACCAATTTTATGAGAGAGATTTTATTCTTATAATTAACGCTATCGATCGATGCAATAAAAGTGCAGGATGCATTTTTTTTTTCAAGATTAAAGCGGGTTCGATTCCCGCGTGTTGCTAGAAATTTTCGAAAATCTATGAGTGCAGTTTTATTTCTTTTAAAAAATAAAGGAATGTTTCCTTTAAGTAAAAATTTCTATCTCCAGTATTTAGAGTACTTTCCCTCCAGGTGGTATTACAAATTTCCACCCTATATATACATAAATTCATATAATATAAATTTTTACTGGAAAAAGGTGAGGAGAACATTTTTAATATAGTTCAATGCGTGACAGTAACTCGAAATACGTAAATAATAACTAATATAATGTAAAATATGTACAAACAGAAACTACAAACCCAACCATTTTTTGTTTTATCGATTTCGCGGCGATGATTAAACGACTAAAATAGCTATATACACAATGTCATATAGTTGTCCTTGTTCTTCAAAATGTATAACAATGGTTCATCACCCAATAAGCAAGCTTAGCTTATAAAACATACTAAATATACTAAATGCTAAAGAATATACTACACTAGTGAGTAATACTCGACCACAAGTAAAGCTACAAGTACTGCTCGTTCATATATCGCACATTTTAACGCTGTATAAATGACGTAATGTACAATTTCCGACAAAGAATCTGACAGCTTCTACTTCCCCGTGGCCCAGGGCACTATAAACGTCAGAGTAGCGACATCAACCGTGACTGCAATACCCATAGGATAAAACCGATCAGATTAAAATTAAATGGTGGAAGGGTTGTCGGGCGTTTCGATGTCGTTATAGAATCCAGTCAAAGTCGTTTATGGTACTTTTATGCGGTATATTTCAAGATGTCAGATAAAGTACCCTCTTTGTCAGAAAGACGAGAGGGACAGATGAAGTACCGGATGTAACACGAAATCAGCTACATTCCATGTGCCCATACCCAAAAGGACGTGTCCCATATTAGCCTACTGACATCCTTGGTCTTCCATAATTAAAATTCAGTCGACGTGGCCACAATTCGAAACAGAATTTTAACGTCATGATTTAGTATTTACGTAAACTTGGTCAACGCCTTCTAACGTGGTTCGAGGGGACTATAAAATGTGCTGTTATGGCAGTGTATTAATTAATAAAATTAAATAATGCTTCGGCATGCCTAAGTACGCTTAGGCATGCTTAAGGATGCCACGTCGTACCTAGCTTGCTAGGGATGCCAAAGGATTCCCTACCGAGCCATCCCGTCAGGCCTTATTTAGGCCCTGCTTTTTGTGCGGTAGCATTGCTCGGTAACAACGTTGTGGCGCGCAATTTAAAGGGTGCAAAGCGAGCCATAATTGTTTTGAGAAAGAATCGGAGAATATTAGATTAGCATTCGATATTATGAGCGTTATTTCTTGCTATGGTAGGCAGTGCCTATTTGCCTACATGAGGTGCACGACACTGGACTAACATACGGTGGTAACAAATATACGACACCCCTCAAAACCGGAATGAATAAATAACATTTTTCTACTCCTGAACTGTAGTCTGTTAACTATAATTTTATAAACCATTTCAGTAAGGCACTCTTTTTAGTTCTGAATCAAAATTCTATTGTCTATGCTACTCACTATTGAATTGAAAAATTTCAAACGCCGTATTTTTGCTAATTAAAATATAAAAAATAACGCTACTCAAACGCTCTACTGCCTCGTGATTGGTTAAATTGGCCTAAAAGTCTTGCAACCTGGCCATAAAAGAAACCTTTATAAATTTGGTTAAAATATAAAAGCGGCACTTGGTCACTTCCATTCTATATCTTTTGTTTGGCTTTCGTTTGAATATTTTGTTATGGATTGTTAATATAATATACTTTAAATATTGGTTGTGTTTATTATATATATTTATTTACTCGTAGAAATAGTATTGTACGCAATCATTACGTAACATCAAGTAACCAGAAATAGAGACGAAATGTCATTTAATTTGTTAGAAAACTATTCTGCCATACTCTTAAGGTGACAACTGCGCTCCGACTGGCCAGCACGAATTCGAAACAATTGACGAGTGTCGTCAATTGTTTCACTTCACAACGACCACTTTAACTTGATCTTTACTATAATGAACAACAATTGAAAAATGACATTTAATTACCGATGAAATGTGATTCCATTTGTTTTGTAATTAGATGTTTTGCTGTTTTTCTCATAACATCAAATGGAACAGCCCCCATTGTTAGAGGTATTATCTTTATTACAATAAATACAGAATATTTTTGGAATATACGAAGACATAGACAAAGGTCAGTTGTTGGCGCTGTACTATTTCAGCTTTCTAATTTGTGATTTCAGTGGAAACGAGCGTTGCTATTTAAAAGTGATATAAGGCCCATTTGCCTGATAAGTTGCCAGTGATGGCCCTTATTTCGTCTCTATTTCTGTTATATACTCGATGTTACATAATTAGGTCCAAACTCGTATTCGGCTTTGAGAGCCCTCATTATGCAGCGATTGCATACAATACTGTTAATTATCGGTATTTGTCTAACAAAAAAGATCCATTCCTAAAAAAGTTATATAGGGAATCTAAGAGTTGAAACACAAAAGTGCGATGCAACGTCGCATCGCAGAAATCTACGAGCTCGCACGACGCGTCGCAAGAATTTGCGAATTGCTTCACATCGCGCATTCCTGCGATGTTAATCTTCTTTGTGTTGTTTTCGTATACTAGCTTATCAATAACAGCAGTGCAACACTCTTTTAAGGATCCCTGTCGCTGCCTAGTTTAAAAAATACGTTTAGTGCCGTTGACGATCGTCGAAGGAATAATCACCCGAACCGTGGCAGTAAGACGCTTTGCCGTACGAAATCGCATCGCATAAATTCGCGTCGCAGATTTCTGCAATGCGAATTCGCATCGCCCCGATTCGCAGTTTTGTATTTCCACCCTTACCCACAATACGTATTTAATCCCTTTCTTATTGTTAGAACTTACCATTCTCAATATAATACGAAGTTTCGTTATATCTGTCGTCTGTGAAACCAGGCCTCTTCGCCTTCAGCGCCTTTGTTTCTAACTTCGCCTGTAACAAACAAAAAACATTGTTTTTATCATTTTTATATATTTTATCGTTTGTTTCTTTGTGATTAGACAGGTTATAAAGGCGTTACAAGAATGGATTTGGAACCTCTGAGATCCGCTTTGCGGCAAAAAGTTTTCTTCTTTTTTTTTGTAAATACACGGCGTGTAATTAGTTACAAAAGAACGTATTTATATTTATTGAATATCTTGACGATATTAATTTTTATTTATTGTTGAAATAAACTCTACTACTTTGTTATAATTATTAATACAAAGATCGAACACAAAGAAAAATTCCTTGAGTCTGACAGGACGGCGATAAAACCTGAAAAAAAAAACCAATAAATCTGTAACAAACGGGTAGACAAATCCGTAAGGTCTGTTGACTCGATCTGTAGCTCAGTTGGTAAAGTGGTAGCCCTGGTTTGGCACATATGTGTAGATGTATCCGTCGAAAGGAATCATATGAGCCTAAGTACACGGCTTAAGAGTTTCTCTCACCTATTTGCCATTTCCATCATTAGAACGGCTTCTCATTGAAATTATACCAATATGCAAAATTTTTTAACAAAATCGGTTAACGGAAAGCAGGTGAAATTCAATCCGGAATCATCCCCTAATTTTCCATCCTTTAGCGATTATCACACTGCCCCGTACGACGCAGCGGAGTGCGCGAGACGACAGATCATGCGCCCCGCACTCCCGCGCGGAGACGCGTTGTCAGTGTGTTGTGCGGCGTCGTGTTTTCTAAACAAATTGAGATACTTCGGTACCGCGTTATAAAACGCAGCTACGCACACCGTTGCGTGCGCGGAGCAGTGAGATAATCGCCATAGAGGTAAAATATTTTCTTCAAATTCAAATAGGATCACACCTTTCGCAACAAAATCATCGAAATCGGGAAAATCAGTAATAAGTATACACATAAAAAAAATGGTTATGAGAATTTCCTCCTTTTTTGAAGGCGGTTACGAAATCTCAATCACATCTCACGAAAAGCATAAAATATCACGAAGGAAGACAACAAAATTTAAATAAAAAAAAGAGTAACTTAAAAATAGTAAAATGTAAACAATTTATTGTAACTCGTCGAGGGAGGCGAAAATGCGAAATATTGCTTTTAACACAATAGGTTGACAGAATATTCGGTGAAATTGTGAATTACATGGTGTTACCACACAATTTCGATGTTTTTTTCCGATGCTAAAACGTTTCAGCGAAATAAAAATAACCTAATATAAGCGATGTCTAAATTAAAGATATATAGTTCCGGACCTCATCCCATTGTCAATAAGAATGTATTTAAACTCCCAGAATATTTAAAATCCGAATCAAAACGTAAACAAATTCACCAATGCATTGAAAAAACTATGAATTTTTAAAACTTATTACGATGTGGACTTTAATTTCTGTTTAATGTACATTATAATATTTTGCAAAGCAATATCTATGATTAATGATGAAGTACAACCTGACGAAACCTGTACACCAAAATGATTCACACTCATAGAAAATGTCTGAAGAGTTGGGCTAGCACGACGGACATTGGCCTAAAACCCTCTTCAGAGGGCCCCGTCTCAACAGGTTCGTTCTATCACTTGGTATTATCATGAAGATTATCAAGAAGATTATCAGGAAGACTGCTTTACAACATTTATTATAATTTATTTTAGTTTTGGTTACATTTACATTTATCATTTACAATATTTTTTGTATATTGGTTAAGCTTATCATCTTTGTTAACTTTTAAAATTAGTTTAATTAGTTTTGTACCTTAGAGAATTATTAAATAAAAGCGAGTTTTTTAATACAACTAAAAGATAACGGAAGAGCGGACTTCCTGTCACAGGTGGATGACACCTACTAGGAAGTCCCAACGTTGTGTAAAAACAACTTAAAAAGCAGAAACAAAACTCTTAAACTTATAAACTTTTTCTTTTTCATTTTCATGTTTCACCGCTAATCGCAGTACAAGAAAGCAAAGTCGGGTATTAGTACCAATTAGTACACCAGATGTCATGACGAGTGTACACTAGTTATTTTTATGTAAATTTCTAGTGATAACAAACAAAGAAACTAGATGGCGCTTATTGCATATATTTTTATGGATACTACCAATAGTCTTTTATTTTGTTTAGGATTAGCGCCACCTACCCATGTTAGCAAGTGTTAAATTTTAAATAATTTTCTTGCATATTTGTATTTTTATTGTATTCAGAAAAAAAATTTGGGTCATGATCAAAATTTGAATAATATTTTATATGAAAGAGGAATTAATTTGATATCGCCTGCCATTTACATAATATAAACTACAAGACGGGATTTTGACCTTTTACAGAGTTAGAATCTGCAGTATGGAGATTAGCAGTCCTGTTGGTTTATTGGTCCAATAAAATGTTAAAATATTACAAATAAAAGTAGTTTATACTCGTCTTTAGACTCGTTGCGCATATGTATTTCTTAGATACTGCTACCTTCTTATCAATCTAATAGTGTTTTGTTTTTGCCATCGAGTATGCCATAAGGAATTCACCATTCCTTGCCACACAATAGCCTCCAATATGGACACACCACAAAAAGTTGTGTCAGCGGGGACGTGCCGAGGCACGAAATGAGAAAAGTTTTTTAAAAGCGAAACAATCTACAAGCTTTTTATTCGTTTTCCATTCTGTATTACATACTTATTCTATATCTTGCTTGTCAAAGAATATAAATTATTCTAGTTTGATAAAAAAATAATCTAAATAACAAAATCAAAACCGTTTGTTGCGGGGACCGCCCCTCGCGTCCTGCAATTCGCGCACTCTGAAATAATATGAATAAAATAAAAAAAACATGCGGAGAAAATTTGACACAAATTAAACGTTAACAAGCGCCAGATGGCGATTGGCAATTTTCAAATTTTGGGATAAATGTGAATTTATAACTAGGTTTGTACTCGGACTTCAGTTAAAAATCAAAATTTAGCAGTTTCCTAACTTAATTTCGATACTTAAGTTCGATATTTCATTCTTATATAATTCGTTTTAGACTTTTATTTAGCCTATTTTCGGGATTTTATATGATCGGGCAAAGTACATCCCGTCGTGTAAATCGTGTAAGCTCAGTGCAAAAAACAACTGCAGTTTCCATATCAGAGTTAAAAATAAACATCTCTCTTAATGGAATAACAATCGCCGGCAACTGAGCCTTCACCGCATGCGACCGGAATCAGAATTATGAAAAACAATTCATCATTTTCACGAAATGACGCTGGACGGTAGTCTGCAGACAGGGGTAGATCTAGTTAAATTGACAAATTATACTTTAAATGTTATGGGTTAATAAATACAAATTTTAACCTAATGCGAGTGGTGAGAATAAGATATGGGGACGATGCTTGAAATTTGGATCAATCCTAAAAATGATCAAGTCAATCAAGGTCAGGTCAAAAGCTATCAGAATAAACGGGCTAGTATGAAGATTGATGTGAGCGGAGGAATAGTTTTTTAGTAGTAGTAAAGCTCCTTGTGTAAGAGTTCGTCCAGAGTGGTACTGCCACCTTACCTATTTCTGCTGCCAAGCACTAACGCATTACTGCGTTCCGGTTTGGAAGGGTAAAGGTGCTGGTAATATTACAAGCACATGGGACTTGTCAACTTATGGCTCAGGGTGACGGGTACAGTAGGCAGCGCAACTGTTATGGATAGGCGTGTCGCTTTCCACCAGGCTCACAACTTGCTCGTCCCGTCACTTTATATTATAAAAAACAAACACAGGTACAATAATCTCAGTACAGAGTACTAAAAAAACCGACCTCAAAAATACGTGGAATAGATGTATATTTGCCTAGTTTTATTGAAATCGGTTACCGGAAAGTGTGCAAACCCGGATTCATCCTCTAGTTCGCCACTATACGGGACTTGATACAGGAGATAATAAAAATCGGTTCTTACTACTCAAAGTATATAGAGAGAAAAACGCCTTGAATTGGAGAATAGCAAAATCAACCATTAAAATAATTGCTCCCTACAATAAAATTTAGGCGCTATTTATAAAAATGAATTTTCATGCGTGAACAGCCACACTTAGAGGTGGATGATTTTCTTCAAAATTAAATGGGACCACTATGGAGGTACCCTCTTTCTAACAAAAAAAAAGAATCATGAAACCTACCTTAATAAGAGGCGTGACAGTATGTATCTAAAGGTCCGGCGACACGATTCAGTCCTATCATAAGTAATCTTTCCACGGAAGCAAAAACAATGGAAAAGCCTAAAGCCTCGATTCCTATCAGAATTGATGTGGCCAAAACTCACACTATCGTAATGTTAGTAAACACGCTATGAAGTCTTGATAATGACTGGTCGCATCTGGTAGCATCTAATTTAAAATATGTAATAAATTCTGGACTGTTAATATAATTTAAACTTTATCCAATTGGCATATCGTTGAAAGTTCAGTACCTATTACTGCAAGTTATGACGTTTTGATTTTACAATTGAAATTTCATGCAATGCGTTGCCATCTAACGGCAATAGCTGAGAGACGACGAACGATTAACGCCTATTAATGTTCTTCAAAAAAAGAGTCGACCATATTGCGGTTATATAAGGTTTACTTTGGTTATTTATAATAAAAAATCTATTACGATAAATAGAAAATGATTTTTTTTTATTAAAATTAGTATATATACCATGGATAATATTACATGAACGACTATAGTTTTTGCACTCCAATACAGCAAACTAAGGCATTTTTTTAAGGTTATCGAGGTTTTGCGCGAGATAATTGACACGACCATAACGTACAAAGCGAAAATGCGGACTTAGTTCAAACATACGGAACTTCGCAAATTGTTGGCACGCGTGACACGCCCATAAAGCACTTCAATTGTATTTATTGTTCCGTGGTCAGGACCGTAGCAAGTGAAAGGCTGTTGTCTCTGTGGGGTAAGCACCCCCGAATATTGAACATTTAGACTATTAAACGACATTTTTCATAAGCCTATGATTGTATCTT